TTTCATTTATTTATTTGTGTGTGTGGCCAGCTCAGCCCACCAGGGGGCAGGGCTGGCTGGCATGTGGTGCTGGGGGATTGAACCACAGTCCCTGTGCTTTTAGCTAAGCGTGTTGTAAGTAGGTGCTTTAGACCACTGAGCCATCTCACCAGCCCAAAAGTGTAGATTTTCACACGACAGTGATTGTACTTCTGTAGTATTTTTTTGGTATCTTCATCTGTGTTAAAAGAATTCATTAAAACAAGAGGAACATTTGTATTGTAGGTTTTGTTCAAATGTTCAATTTGTTGAGCTATCCCCCAGTCCCAGCATGGTAGTTTTAATGAACTGAATTGTGTGCCCCACATATGCCCCACATGTTAACATCCTAGAACCCAGTACCTCAGAATATGACTATATTTGGAGGTAGAGCCTTTAAGGTCGTAATTAAGATTAAATCAGACATTGTGTCCCATGCCTGGAATCCCAGCACTCAGGAAGCTGACACATGAGGATCACCATGAGTTCAAGGACATCCTAGACCACATAGAAAGTTCAAGGACAGCCTAAACTACACAGTGAAACCCTGTCTCAAAAAACAAGACTACGCAAGATGGGGAGATAGCTAGTAGAATAGCGCTTGTGCCTGACAAGCGCAAGCGTCTGAGTTCAATACTCAGATCCACCAAAAAATAAAAAATAAAAATAAAAACAAAAAAAGAAATTTCCTTAAAAAAATAAAAAGACAACAACAGCAAAAGTGGTAATTAAGGTTAAATGGAACTAGGTGTGTAGCTCAGGAGCACAATGCCTGCCTAGCAAGCATCAGGCCCTGAGTTCAATTCTCCATACCAAAAAAAAAGTTAAATGAAGTCAATGAAGTCATAAATGTGGGCCCTAATGCAATGTGACTGATCTTTATAAAACAGTTAGATTAGGGCCAGGCATGGATGACATACATTGGTAATCTCAGCTTCTCAGGAGCCTAATGTAAAAAGGCTTGCAGCTAGCTATAAGGCCTGCTTGAGTAACTTAGCTCAACCCTGTGTCACAATAAAAAAATAAATAAAATGGCTGGAGAAAAGCACCATTGGGTTTCTTTTTTTTTTTTTTCATTTTTTTTTTTAAATTTTTATTTATTTGAGAGAGAGAGAGTGTGTGGCCAGCTCAGCCCACCAGGGGGCGGGGCTGGCTGGCATGTGGTGCTGGGGGATTGAACCGGGGTCCCTGATGCTTTGCTAAGCTTGTTCTAAGTAGGTGCTTTAGACCACTGAGCCATCTCTCCAGCCCATCATTGGGTTTCATCTCCAGTAATACAAATGGGGGTTGGAGGCTGGACACACAAGATGGCGGTGACCTGTGAGAAACCAGAAAGAAGGTGGTCACTTGCAACCCAAGGACAGGCCTCAGGAGAAACCAAACACACTAATACTCGGTCTTGGACTTCTAGCCTCTAGAATGGTGAGAAAATAGGTTTCTGTCACCATGCAACAGACTATGGTATTCTATCCTGGTAGCCCTAGTGAACTAAGACAGTGGCACATGCCTATGATACTAGTATTTGGGAGGCTGAGGCAGGAGGATCAGCAGGAGTTTGAGGCCAGCCTGGGCTAAACAGTAAGTTCAAATCCAGCCTAAACTATATATAAGAAAGAAATTTTGGAGCGAAGCCTGGCCTATCTCTTTTATCATCTTAAATAGGTTACTTTGCTTCTTGGTGCCTCAGTTTCCCATAGGACAAAAGATATAGTTATAGTACCTGCGTCATAGGATTGCTATAGGAGTGAACAAAGATACAAAAGCAGGAGTAAAAGAATAGAGTATTCAGGCTGGGGGTGTAGCTCAGCAGTAGCGATTAGCATTTATGTAGCCTGGGTTCATTTTCCCACATGAAACAGAAACATCGCTTAGAAACTGGGAATGCAGCACAGTGGTAGAACACTTGCTTAGCATGAATGAGGCCCCGCATTTTAGAGGGGGGAAAAAAGGGCAGAGATCCTGGCATAGTGGCACATGCCTATAATACCAGTATTTGGGAGACTGAGGCAGGAAGATCACCAGGAGTTCGAGGCCAGCCTGGGCTAAACAGTAAGTTCAAAGCCAGCCTGAACTATATATCAGACCCTTTGGGAAAAAAAGGTGTGTGTGGGGACACTCTGGTACACAATAAGTAATCTACAGACACTTACTAAGGGAATTTTATTTTTCTCGACAAATACAAATGAGCAGGCCTTGAGTGTTATGTAAAATAAAAGTCACCAGGTAATAGTGTTCCTATTATGACAGCTCTTTACTCTTACTAGCCTGGGAAGCTCTTGGGGCAAAAACATATCCTTCTGTGTGACAAAGGGCTTAGTAAAAGATAGCACATAGGAAGAATTTGCCAAGCCAAATAATTTCCAAACATACCCAATGCAAGGCCGTATGTCAAGAGTTAGCGTCTGATTCTTCATGAAAGTAACAGAGCCATTTCTAAAAGTTCTGTTTGGGGGCTGGGGATTTGGCTAAGCTGTAGAAAACTTGCCTAGCAAGCTAGAAGCCCTGGGTTTCGTCCTTGGTACCAAAACCAAAAAATAAACCTCTCATAAAAGTTCTGTTTGGTTACTTTTTACATTTTCCATTCAAAAATTGCACAAGGTCTGGGGAGGTAGCTCAGTTGAATAAGTGCTTGCCTGGCAAGCTCAAGGGTCTGAGTTCAATCCCCAGTTCTGCAAAAAAGAAAAAGTTGCACAGTGGTGCAATTTATAACCCTAGCACTCTAGGAGGCTGAGGCAGGAATACAGAGAGCTTGAGCCCAGCCTGGGTAGCTTAATTGGTGACTTAAGTGTCTGTCTCAAGAACTTCTTTAAGAAGTGATGAGGGGCTGGCCAAATAGCTCAGTGGATTAAAGCACCTGCTTAGGCAGATGCCCTGCTGGCCCCATCCCCAGGGCACGCTGAAATGGCAATTGAGACTGGGCTTGGTGGCATGCGCCTGTAATCTCAGCTCTTGGGAGGCTGTAAACAGGCGGATCACTATGAATCTGATCTATGTAGTGAGACCCTGTAGAACCTTACTAAAAAAAAAAAAAAAAAAAAAAAAGCGATGGGGATGTAGCTCAGTGTAAAGATCCCAAGTTCAGTTCCCAGTACCAAAATAGAAAAACCTTTCCTCTTCCCTGTACCTATATTCTTTTTTCTTCTATAGCTATTTTCTAACTTTGTTTTGTGTGCATTATTTTCTACACTTATGTCTGTGAATTACAATATCTGAAATCCATGTTGATTTTTCTTTCTGTTATCTTGGGAACCTGGTTTTTGCTGACTGTGTATGCCAGTCATCTCCTGAAGAGTTATCTGTAGTGGCCAAGGGTGATGGCACATGCTTATGATCCCAGCACTCAGAAAGTTGAGGCAGGAAGATCATTTGAGTTTAAGGCCAGCCTTAATTACAAAGCAAGACCCTCTCTCAAAACAAAACAAAATTATCTGTGGTGGTTCTCTGAAACCAAAGATGGATGTGCTTTTTTCCAGAGAAGCTTTGGTTTTTTGCCACAGGTGTGGGGGCATAGCCAGCAAATTATCATGAGAACCAGGTTCCCAGTTCACAAGATTTCTTAATCCACCAGGCTCTACTCCCTGGACTTCAGAGGATTCATTGACGATCACAACTTCTCAAGAAAGAGCTTTAAAAACAGTCCCCCTAACTGGGTATAGTGGTTCACACCTATAATCTCAGCACTTTGAGAGGTTGAGGCAGGAGGATTGTAAATTTCAACTCAGCCTGGAAAAATGAGTGATTTAGTGTGAATTTGTAGATAGATGGATGGACAGATAGATATTTTAAGAAAAAATGCCCATATATTAATTTTTTTCACTTCTTCTTTTTTTAAAGATTTTTTAAAAAATTTTATTTATTTATGTGTGTGTGTGTGTGTGTGTGTGTGTGTGTGTGTGTGTGTGCCCAGCTCAGTCCACCAGGGGGCAGGGCTGGCTGACATGTGGTGCTGGGATTGAACCACCGTCCCTGTGCTTTGCTAAGCTTGTTCTAAGTAGGTGCTTTAGACCACTGAGCCATCTCACCAGCCCCTCAGGCCTTACTTATTTTTGAAACCGACCTTGCTAAATTGCCCTTGCAGAAATCAGAACTTGTGATCCTTCTGCCTCAGTCTCAATGCTGAAGACTGAAATTACAGGTATCCCCATCAGCTCCTCTAAAAGTTTGGCCTTTTTTTTTTTTTTTTTAAACAGTACTCAGGACCCTGTGCCTGGCACTTATTCTACTGAGCTATCTCCCTGGCCCCTAGAAGTTTGGCTTTTAAGAATTAAGGGTAGGGGGCCTGGCCTTAGCTCAGTTGTTTAAATGGCTGCTTCCACAAAGCTGTCAGCCTCAGGTTGCTGTAGTTCGATACCCACAACATTCCAGCCAGCCAAACCACCCCTGAGGGCATTCCAAGCCAAAAAAAAAAAAAGAAGAAGAAAGAAAGAATTAAGGGTAGAGGCCTGTAAGTTAGCTCAGTTGTTTAAGCACTTGCTGGGGCAAACCCAGTTAGGTGCAGGAGACCGTGGTTCGATCCCCTGCTCCCTATGCCTTGGGAGACCCTGTCTTAAAGCAACCTGAGGTTGCTTTTTTTTCCTTAGCCGGCTAAAGGAAAAAAAAAAACATCCTTTGCAGCTTTTGCAGGGAGATAGCTCAGTGGCTTAAGTGCCTGCCTGGCAAGCACAAGGTCCTGTGTTGGATCCCCAGTACAAAAAATAAAGAAACAATAAAAAGAGGGGGGAAAAAAAGAAAAAGAAAAAAACAAAACAAAACTCATTTGGGCGCCGGGGAGATGGCTCAGTGGAATAAGCGCTTCCCTGGCAAGCGCAAGGGCCTGAGTTCAATCCCCAGTTCCGCAAACAAAACAAAACAAAATAAAAAGAATTAAGTGTAAAACATTAAGTGTCACCTGTAATCCCAGCACTCAGGAGGCGGAGTCAGGAGGATTGTTGTGAGTTTGAGACCAGCCTGCCTACAAAGTGAGCTCAAGGCCAGCCTGAACTGTATAGTGAGACCATGTCCCAAAAAGTCTAATAATAATAATAATAATAATAATAATACTTTGAGTGTCGAGTGATTTGTGCTTTAAGAAGATGGTTGTCACACCAGTTACATCGTCAGATCTGTCACATGCAAAGATGAGGCCTAGTACATCCCAGTGTCACCGCATAAAATTTAACTGCCCCAACTCTGAGGGCAGCTCTTCAAAACCTCCTTCCAAGCCCCTTGGCGACACGCCTCCTGCCTAGTCCACCTGTGAGCCGAACAGGCCACTAAGGAAAATACGTACTGATTGGACAGGTAGGGGAGGCTGGGTCACTAACATTCGTTACAAACTCTTTTTTCTCTTCCAATCAGACAGCTGTTCCGAAGAGCCAAAAAAGCGCCCCATACCCGGTATAGACAAATACGCTGTGTGATTGGCTGTCCCGATATGAGTGACGGCAGATACAGCGTATGGGAACGTCCCCGGGGCTGCGCTACTTTGGCGTGGAGGGCGCAGCCGGAACCCGCGCTGTCAGTGAGCGTCCAGGCAGTCCTTCCACCCCGCGCGTCTCCGCGCCATGGCCGCCCCGCCGCAGCTGAAGGCTCTGCTCCTGGCGGTGAACGCGCTGCTGCGCAAGCGCCGCTACCACGCTGCGTTGGCCGTGCTTAAGGGCTTCCGGAACGGGGCCGTGTGAGTGGGGCTGTCGGGCTGGAAGGGGCTGAGGGACGGGACGCGCTTGGCTGGGGTCGGAGGCACAAGTGTGAGGCCCGGCGCCGCCGCCTGGGTGCCCTTGACCAGTCCTCGTGTGTCTCTAGGTCTCGATAGCCACCATCTGTGCAGTAGGATTTGGAGTGGGGCTTCTGAGCGCCTTGCCAGCGCTGAGCCGCGGCTCCCACTGTGCGCTTTCTCGGTCCTTCTGCTTTACAGCCTGGAGCTAGTGGCATGATCCTCGCTCGGCAGCACCTGTATCCCCTTTATTTGGGTCAGGTCAGGCCTCGCAGTGCGCTCTTTGGACTGTCTGGCTTTCCAGGCCCCGTCTGCACAATAGAGAACTGAACTCTGGCCTTTAGCATCGAGGCACCCCCACCCCCATTAAGCTGCCCATGAGTTCACAGCCTTATCCTGTGACTCCAGTGCCAAATCCTCTTTTGGTACTGGGGACTTCTGGGATGTGACAATGGATGTAAAAAAAAAGCTGCAAGTATTTGCCGAACATATTGATCTCACTTCAGCCTTGCATGAGGAGCTCCTGGGGTCATGTCACACAGCCAACCTCAGCCAACTTTAGATCACCTGCATGACAGCCACCATCTATTCAAAGCCTACTGGGCCAGAACTGGCAACACAGCAGAAACAAAGCAGAGAGCAGTCTGTATCCCACCTGAGTTGGCATCCTGGTGGCACCGCAGTGTGGTGGTGAGCATGTGGCCTGCCAAGATTCGAATCCTGGTGTCACTTGCCTATCTGATCTTCAGGAAATCATGAATCCTCTCTAAGCCTTTCTATAAGGTGTATTGTACTGTCAGAGGATTAAATCCATACTTGTGAAACACTCAGCACAGCATAGGTATATACAGAAAGTGTCTTTTATTTTTGTTATAGTCACACGATGTCTACCTGACTTACTCCCTTATCTTTCTCAGGCCTGCCAGGCATAGTGGCACACACTTGTAACCCCAGCACTTGGGAGGCAGAGGCAAAAGGATGGTGGCGAGAGTTCGCCTGCGCTACAAAATGAGCTTACGGCCAGGCTGAACTGCATAGTGAGACTCTGTCTACTTACATTTCATCTGCTTTTTTTTTTTTTTTTTTTTTTGTTTTGTTTTTGGCAGAACTGGGGATTGAACTCAGATCCTTGTGCTTGCCAGGGAAGAAGTTATTCTACTGAGCCATCTCCCTGGCCCCTCGTCTGCTTATTGAGGCCACCCCATGAATTCCCATTATCACTGGACACTTAATAGTTCACTTGTGTATCTTGATATTTGTTTTTGCAGTACTAAGGATTGAACCTAGGGCCTTATATGTGGTAGGCAAGCACTCTACCATTGAGTTACATCTCCAGCCTTAAATTTTATTTCTTTATTTTTTTTAATTATTTATTTATTTTTTTTGTGTGTGTGTGTGTGTGGCCAGTTCAGCCCACCAGGGGGTGGGGCTGGCTGGCATGTAGTGCTGGGGAATTGAACCATGGTCCCTGTGCTTTGCTAAGCTTAGCTTGTTCTAAGTAGGTGCTTTAGACCACTGAGCCATCTCACCAGCCCATATTTCTTTATTTTTTGAGACAGCATCTCACTATATAGTCCAAACAGGCCTTGAACTTGCTATGTAACCTAGGCTTCCCTGGAACTAATGGTAATCCTCCTGCCTCAGCTTCCCAAGTAGCTGGAATGACAGGCATGTATCACCATCCCTGGCTGTTGGTATAGTCCATTTCTCACTAGAAAGTGAGCTTCATGAGGGCAGATCTTTCCCCCCTTGTGGTACTGAGGATCAAAGCCAGGACCTCAAGTACATTAGGCAAGTATTTTACCATCTCCAACCCAAAGACAGAACTTTTTATCTACTTTATCCCTTCCTAAACTTCTAGCACCTGCTACATATTAATAGAATCTCAAGTATTTATTGAGCAACTGAATGGATAAGTATGTATAAAATAGGAACTGGCATTGTACTTATTCTCCAAATGAGAAGACTGTTGCTTAGAGTTCTATACCCATGACACATATCGTATCACTTGCTCAGCGGTGAAGCCAGGATACAAATCCAGAATGCCCAATGCCATGTAAGTATTATGTGGTAACATTGGGAAGTACTCGGTCTCATCTTTACATGTGACAGACAGACTTGACGATGTAGCTGGTATGACAACCATCTTCTTAAAGCACAAATTACATGGCACTCAATGTCTTACACTTTTTTTTTTGTCTTTTTGAGACATGGTCTTGCTGTGCAGTTCAGGCTGGCCTTGAGCTCACTTTGTAGCCCAGGCTGGTCTCGAACTCACAGAGTTCCTCTTCTGTCAGCCTCCTGAGTACTGGGATTACAGGCAGCATGCAATGTCTTGCACTTAATTCTTTTTTTTTTTTTTTTTTTTTTTTTTTTTATTTTTTTTTCAACAAATAATACACTGCATATATTCTTCTTAGTGGTTAATTGCTGTACAATTGCACTTAATTCTTAAAAGCCAAACTTCTAGAGGGGCATGGTGGGGAATACCTGTAATCTCAGCATTGAGACTGAGGCAGGAGGATCACACGTTCTGAGTTCTGCCAAGGCAATTTAGCAAGACCTGTCTTAAAATTAATTCTTCTTCTTCTTCTTCTTATTATTATTATTATTATTATTATTA